AGTAGAGTGTGCCTGTTCATATCATTGCTGATAATTTATGCTTTTTCATTCAAGAGCAATTTAATAATCTTACCTTTCATATAGCCATTGGATTTTAGATTATGAATAATTAACATTGTTCTTTAAATATTCATCATCTATATATTATTTATTTTTTCCCTATAAATGCTCCTAAATATAGGATTAAGATCAGTGCTTTATATATTTATGCAGTACTGTAATGTAAACAGTTCAGTAATCGAATTGATAAGATATTTAATTCTGGAAAAAAAATAAAGATTTCTTATTGGGAGATTTTAGAGCATTTTTTGATTGACAGTTGACCTCTTGGAAGGAGTTTTACTCTACATGCATCTCATGTCTTCCTGGCTTCTTGGATATATTTCATTGTTCATTATGTTAAGTAAAACATAAGAAATTATATCTTTAAAAGTCAGTTGTTTCTAAAAAATTTGTGGACTTTGTAACAATTTACATCATCATCTTAGTTAAGGATTGTCATTTGAAGTGACAAGATTGTGATGTCCAGGTGATAGCACCGTTAGTGTTAGCGTGAATCATTCTAGCCGCTGCTCCCCTTTTGTTGAGTAAATAATCATGCACTGTTCTTGCTCGACTCTCATCAATGTATTAGATGCCTTCATTTTAGAAATGCTCCTTGCCCTAATAGAGTGGATTTCTCGCTCAGTTGGATACCGCCTCTCCCACAGAAGGTTTTATCACCGCCAATCTAACCTAGCAGACAGTCTACTAAACATTAGTGTGGATAATACTCATTCTGAAAGTGCAGGGCTCAATTTTTTTCTTTCTCCTAGATAAACATAGCCATCCTAACAAAGAATTTTGGTTTTATATCTACAGGTTAAGAGACGCAGCGGCTACGAGGAAAACGGACTAGACATACCTTCGTCAGAGTCAAGGTAGGAAAACCACCTCACCACTCTTGAGAATTTAGCACTTAAAATCTCGCAATTTTTACATTTTCTTGTGAATCGTCTTACTGAAATACAAACTCTCTGATACTCGTGGCATCTTTGTTTTGTAGAATTTTACTCTACAGCAACTAGATTTAGCATTTGATTTCAAATACTAGAAACATATATGGTTTCTCTAGAGACTGATTTTATGTCTTTTTCATTTTGTGTAGGATTCTTGGAGCATATGTATAGTGTTTGTTGGCCCCTTTAAGTTTCAACTTTAAATTATCCAAGTACGATCAAATCTAGTAATTGTTCAATATTCCATTGACTGTATGATTTATTTCTGTTTTTGTCGATTTTATTTATTTTTTTATTAAAGTATAACAAACCAACATAATGTTGTACAATACTAAGCAACAAAAATCATTAGTAGAATCAATCAAATTAAATCAAATCAAATTTGATAAATCACAAAGAAACACTTCATCAATAGTATGTAGATGGTAAATGTGTATAGCCCCAAAAAATTTAATTTGAACACAATTCTGTGGATTTTAATTATATTGTTCTTAATATATATTTATATAATTTTATTTGTTCAAAAAGTGGATAATCTAGCTGTGTCAGAACATTAAATTATATCTAGGCCTATATAATATAGATTGAAATTTATAATGGAAAACACTATGTACGGAATGTTGACTTGGATGAGATATAAATATAGTATAAAAAATGTTTAAATCAATACCAATAAATTGCTGATGAATGTCAATGTACTATCTGAAAATTTTATTTCCAAATATATTTAATGTTTTAGTCCTCATACCTAATTGTTATACATTACACCAGGTATAATGTATGTAGTTAATAAACATTTAATTATATTTCAAATCTGACTTAGGCATCAAAATGTGTTTATGCTATATACATGCATAAAGTAGAAACTTGTTAAATTTGACATAGTCTATAATCTTGATCGCTATTTAAACAGTTAATAAGTAAGAATATTATTATAACATAATAAATGATATGTGTCTTTAGAATGACCTTTAATGGGAGAAGTATAGGATACTTGTATGCTTCTGCAGTGGAACCTTTAAACTTATGAAATTAGAAATGTGTTTTTTATTACCTCCGTGGTCCAATTAACTTTTTACGATTTACCGACTCTCGAGAGATTCTCTGTTGTACGTTTTTATGACATCCTTCTATATTCGATGTTCTTTACTTTCTGATTAAGATATCACAGGTGATATGAAATGAGCTTATTTCTCAATTGGAAGCATGTTTTTATTTCCTATCTCAACTCGTTCATATCATCGTAATATTCGCTTTACAGATTTTAACGACCCATGATGGCCAAGTTTTTCCCCCATGATGCTCTGTTCTAATGACTTGCTCGAAAGACATCTTTGTTTTAAAATTCTGAGAAGCAGTCAACTTCAGAGGAGTGGTTTTGTGTATCTTTAATATTTTCTCTAGTATTTTTCTGTAATATTGTTAAATTTTTATCTTATTTTCTTCAAAAGAATTCTTCTAGAATTTATGAAATTTGGATTTCTAAGAACCCTGTTTTAATGTTTATATAGGCCCTTTAGTTTCCATTACTTAATTTATGATATTTACATCTATTTAAAAACCCCTGTTCTTTGACAGTAACAGTAGTTGGAAAATGTAGGTATAGAGTCAGAAGAGCCATTAAGTATGAAATAATAGGGGAAAAAAAAAACTTTTCTAGGAATCTGATGATTATTATTCAGCCGTCTAGACCACCACTAAAGATTTGTATGTTGGCATGTTGCTTTTTAATTTCAATATTGCAGCACATAAGGAAGTTGTAGTTAAAGCTCACTTAGTAATGGTATGTAGTTTTAGGCCCTTAAAAATTGAAATATAAAATGAAAAATATGTATGTATACCATATTTTTTGTATATAATA